ACTGTATAGCTATTCATTTATTTTCAATACTAAAGAGTCTCATCATTTACACTTTAAGGCTGAACAAATTAGAGCACATAGAGATGGCATAACTTTCAGAGGTCCTAGAAAATAGTTGATAGAGGAATAAGGCAGAAGGAATAGTAATTTGTTTACTCTGCTTATAGAACTACACTGTCTGAGACTGCAAGAAGGGCACAGGGTAATAGTATTTATATGGATACTAAAGTTAAGATTATAGGAGGGGTTGGCAGGGAAAGGTAACGAGAGAAGGTGACAAACCTGGAATAAGAGGATTCATACTTACTGCAATTACACTCAAGTATTACATTAGGTAAATTGTTTGGAATTTTAAACTGGCTACCTTTTCTTATGGAAAGCAGGGAGGTGGGCACAGGATACATGAGTAAGAAGGCATTGTATATTCTTTACCATTATCTTCCAGGGAAAATGCCTATTAATTGTTAGTATTTGGAAAGGAGGCGTTATTTTCCTAAGTATTTTCTTTTTGGAATTAACTAAACTAAATTATTCCAAATTATCTAGATAGATAATAGATAATAGATAGTAATACTCACATGAGTATTACTCCCATATCATAAGGCCCTCTTTTTCACTGAAAGTATCCTATAGTAGAGGGCAAAAATAGGCTGTCAAATGAATTGCAGAACCAGTGGTAGCCAAAGAGGATTCAAATGGATACAACAAAAGCCCTGAAATATGATTACTGTTGAAAGAATAAGAACTAGCTCTAAGTCACAACGGCTGTGGATTGTCTATATTGAATTTTGGTGTATTCTAACCCACTGTATGTGGGGTAAACGCACAAAATGTTAATAATGGCTTACCAGGGGGTAAGTTAATGGGTAGTTTTAAAATGTTCTTTTGATTATTTTTGCATTTTCCACAAGTAATTTCAATCAGAATGTAAACGAGAAAAAAAAAACTTTAAAAATTCTCTCTACCCAAATGGCAAAGCTTTCTCTTAATATACTTTTTCAGAACTGTATGTTATCCATGGCTCTGAAAATAATTCCTGGTTTGTTCAAAATATTCCTTTTTTCCAAACGATCCCAAAATAAGTTCTAAAGGGATAAACCTTTCAAATTGAACTTTTTCAAGAAAGCTGAACTTGGAGTTCTGAGATATTTTTGCCCTTATTAATATCCACAAAGAAAGTGTGAGACAATAAGCACCCACATCTATATAGGAGGATGTGAATGCATCAAGAGGACGATTAGCTTCATCAGTGTGAAGGGAGAAACAAAATCCAAAAATGTGAAAATAAAAATACTGTATTGATTCAAATTGTAAATATGCCACTTTCATTTTTATTTTATCTACTTTTATCTTTCAAATTCATTCCCATATGAATGCAATTTTAGGTTTACAGGTCTTCCTCCTATTTTATATTATCATCACTTGATTCCTGCCTTCTTTACATTCTATTTTTTCTTAATGTTTTATTTTGAGCTGTTTCTACTTATTTCCTTAGTCATTTTATTACTGTCTTGATTTTTGAACTCACATACCTTAAAGCAAGTGATCCTCCAACTGGTTTGGAGTTTTATCCCACATGTTTCTGAAGGATACTGGCTAATGCTTAGTGATCCAGAGCAAGTTAGCAACATCTTTACACCTAGAGGGTTAGCAATGCCCACGTGTGCCACTGGTTATTACTGGAAGGCCTAAGGTAAAGGCAGAGGAGAAGAAAATAGGGAGAATCAAGGGAGCAGGGAGAAAGGAACCAGAGTAAAGGAAGACAGGGGTAGAGAGAAGGAGGTACTCAAAGGAGGGTCGTAGAGAGCCACAATTGGCCTCAAGGATATTCTTTACCAAAACACTGCCTGAGGTGGTATTTATAATAGAAAAGAGGCTAATGAATACATTTACCTTTAAAGAAATGAAAATCATCTTAATTACTAAATATAGTAAAAATAACTTTTAGGATTCATAGAGTTTATCTTCCTAAATTACAGACAAAAGTGAGGAGGTATAAACTGGAAAATTCAGCATAGTTGTAAGACCATGCCACTTGTCTACAGAAGACTTTTGCTTCTTTAATTATGATGTTCATATTGTACACACAGACACACTAACCATTCCTACTTTGAGATTTAACCATCTACAGAATGGTTATCACTTATGTCTCTCTTATATGTTACATATCTTGGAGAACTAGCAACTCTTTGCAAGAAAGAAACAATGTGAATCAGCTTCATGGTAGATAATCTCTCTGACTCTTTATAATGTGAGATGCCATTTTAGATTTTTTTCTGGTGAAATAACTAAAAAACCCCTCCCAAACAAAAGCATAAATAGGATACTAAATGGCAATTTTACATAAAATTTTTTTGATGAGTTGTACAGTGTTTGAAAAGCTCATAGGGGCTAATTGCTCCCTTTGGCAACAAGAAAAGCTAACAGCAACCGTTTTTTTTTTTTTAATTGAGGTGCTGCTAGCTCATGTAGAAATCACAGAACAATATTCTGTTTGGGAATAATTCTGCCTCAAATAATTTATTTTCTCACTCTCTCCCACTTCATAAAAAACAGACTTCTTTGTCTCTGGTGTTTCATCTGCTCTAGCTGTTTGCTTTACTCTGGAAGCAAGAATTCTTTGTCATTTTATAGTAATCCTGTATGGCTATAAATTGTAACATCAAAACAGAATTTACTTTTTAGATGGGCAATAAGAAACTATTTCAAGCCAACAATGACGTTGGGAAAAAAAAGAAACTAGAAGAGCCAGTGAAGCTATCACAAGATAAAATAATTTTCTGTCTGGACAATATTTATTCTGATCAACACTGTAGGAGGAAGCAATTTGAAAGAAAAAAACACAGGAGCCATTGGAAATTTGGTATTTATGTTTTGGCTTTGCCAATTTCAGAAGTATTCTGATATAGTGAGATCAAGCTGAATGAAGTGAATCGAAGATAATCTTCCTGAGAAAGAATACACTAGTGGAAATGAAAAAACATAAGCTCAATCTCTCTACCATTTTATTTACACAGAAAATGAGAGTCGCAATTCAAATGTTAGCCCTTTTTCAGAGATAGTTTAAGAACATGTGTTTAAAATAATAATAGTGATAATAATGGTTACTACCATTAAACATTTTAAAATACAATTATCAAGTGTTCTTTTTTTTTTTTTTTTTTTTAATGTGTGTCAGGTAGTTTACTAAGGCTTTCTACAACCTCATCTAATCCTTACAACAACCTGCTGGGGTAAGTATTGTTGTAGTTATCATAATTTTAGAGATGAGAAAACTGAAGCTAAAAAAATTTAAGTGATTTGCTCAAAGTTACACAGATGGAACTGGTACTAAAACCCAGATCACTTGAGCTTTGCTCAATGCTTGTAACCTTAACCATTTGCTATGTTATCTCCAACATCAAAAGATAACTACTAAGAGATGATGGAACACAGAGATTAATGAAGTATTTAATTACAAGAAAAAGGAAATTACAGGTTGATAATCTTTTATATGAAATGCTTGGAACCAGAAGTATTTTGGATTTTGATGTTTTTCAGATTTTGGAATATCTGCATATACATAATGAGATATCTTGCGGATGGGACTGAAGTCTAAACACAAAATTAATTTATGTTTCATATATATTCTATACACATAGCCACAAGGTAGGTAATTTTAAACAATGTTTCAAATACTTTTTCTAAACAAGGTTTTGAGTGTGTTTTCACTGTGACCCTTTACATGAGGTCAGGTATAAAATTTTCTACTCGTGGTGCCATGTCAACACGCAAAAAATTTCAGATTTTGGAGTACTTCAAATTCTGGATTTTTGAATTAGGGATGCCCAACCTGTATTTTCATGGCTAAATGTAGCTAAAAAAACCAAAACCAAAGCCAAGTAAGACACTCCATAACTCCATATCTCATGTACCCCATTAAAAAGGGATTGGCATGCTTAACAGCTCTGATAAACTGAAAATTTTTTTAACATGTTTCTTCAATGATATCAAGCTTATATTAATAACCAATAACATAATAACAATGTATCATACTTGGAAAATCACTAAGAGAGCAGATTTTAAGTCTCACCACAAAAATGATAAGTATGTGAGGTAATGCATGTGTTAATTAGCTCAGCTAAGCCATTCTACAATGTATACTACATATTTTAAAATATCATGTTGTACATGGAAAAACAAAAACAAAACCAAAAAAATCAACAACAGTTTCTAAGCAATTCAGAATTTACATTTGGGGTTCTTAGATTGGAATTTAGGCAGAAAAATGCTATTTAGTATTTGCTTTTAAGCTTTATGCAATCTCAGGCAACTTTGCGTTAGCTGTTGGGGCTCCAGAATTTTGAAATATGGCATCTTCTACAGAATTAGAGGTTTCCCTCATGTCTGCTTTTTATGAAGCCCTTTACTGATGTTTGAGTTGAAAGCGGAACAGACCACCTCAACTTTACTCTTGTGTTGGGAGTCTGCTCTTTTTTCTTAGACCATATAGATGTTTTCAACTAGAAAACATCTGGAAAACTTCCACACCAAGAATGTATGCTGTCTGGCATGTGTAGGAACAGAAAGAATAAATTGAAGTACAGTGTTTTAATTTTCTTCCTATATATTTATTTGTAAGCAAGAATTTTAGTAACATAAAGGATAAACACTTGATGTGACAGATTCCACATTTACGCTGAAGTGATTTTTATGCATTGCATGCCTGTATCTAAACATCTCATGTACCCCATAAATATATATACCTACCATGTATCCACAAATATTAAAAATAAAAAATTTAAAAAAGAGAATTTTCATATAACTTCTCTTTATCTGAAAAGTTTTAATCAAGACTGTGCTAGAAAATATACAGGTGCAGATTAACATGGTTATCTGTGGATTTTGACAATCATGGGGAAACAAACCTAACAGCTACTGGGTGCTTGGGCTAAGCCAACAATCTGAAAAAAAAAATACAGTGTAAGTCTGATCATGTTTAAGAGAACCAAAATATTCACCTCGGACAGCATAGCCATCTTTTACTGATGCTGGGAAGGGCGGTAAATTGTCTTTTGCATATACATCTTGAGCAAGGACTCGCCCCATTCCATCTGAAGGAAGAGAAAAGAAGGAAAATGTAAATATCGAGAGCAACGGGTAAGCAGGCAGTCATAAACAAGATGGGCATGAGTGCTTGTCTGTCACAGCTTGTAAATGGGTTCAGTCAGACCTCCTGATTTCTGTCCCAAGAAATAGGGGGCAGAAAGAAGAGATACATTCTGGTGCCTGAAATAACAGATTATAGTCAGTCAATTCATGGCAATGTTTGTAGAGATTATCTGAATATGAGGTGCTATACAGTAATCAAAGATGTGTTCAGTTGATGTGTCAGTAATCCTTTAACAACCCAAATATGATTTTCTTTAAAAGGAAAGCCAACTTTACACATTTTCATACCCATTGACCTAGTAGTTTCACTTCTAGAACTCTATCCTAGGAAAAATGGATAAATGTTTCTGTATATGTTTATTTCAGAGTTGCTTACAATAGAAAAAATGGAAAGAAACCAAACTATCAACAATATAGGTATTTAAATAAGAAATGATATATTCTTAAGATAAAATATTATGGAGGCTAAAGTAATACTTATGAAGAATATTCATTGACATAGGAAAATTCCTATGATATATATTTTTACCACATGCAAAGTCAAATCTGTAGCATATAGTCTTAACTGTATTAAGATATAAGTGTACATATCAATAGAAAAAGAAGGAAAAACCATACATGAAAATATAAAGCATTTACTACTTCAGAATGTTAGATTTATGGTTTTTATTCCCTTTGCTCTACTTTTCCAAAAATTTCCACACTTTCTACAATGAACGCATCATTTTTTAATCCTAAAGTTGTTTTTTTCTTAAGAAGACAAAGTTTTTTAAAAAAAGGAATGTCCCAGTCATCCATTTGAGTTTTAGCCTTTGATTTTGGCTTCATTAATTGAAATAATTTAGTGCCTATAAGAAGAGCACCAGTAACCTTTTGTATGAAGTAAGTATTCAGACTACTCTGGATGAAAATCACTTTTGGCTCAGAAATTCGAACTAGTGCCAACAAGAATAAGTTTCAGGAGTCACAACCAATTCCTTAAATCCTCTAGTCAGACTGTCTTTATTGTTAATTTAAAAAAAGGAAAGCAAAAATAAATGATGTTAAAAAAAGAGGAAGAGGAAGGATTAAAAGAAACCAAGACAAGTAATACAGGACTTGATTTACATGAAGTATTTGTATAATTTATAAAATTTCATTGATCCAGAGCTGGATAAGTGAGTCTGTATTTTTTATCTTTGACTTTAGCCACCTAGGGTCCCTGATTTCCAGATCCTAGGACCTAGAATTAAGTGTAGAGAGATTTTTAAATTTATATTCTGACCATCTGATTTTCAAATTTCTATTCTGAATATCACTATATTCTATAGTGATATTGACTCTTCCCTTTTGGCACTTGAATTGGAAGGGAGAACTCAGCAGATTCTAGCTTCAGATACTCCTAGGATGTTGAAGCTATCCTGGAGCTATACTGGAAGTCTGGGCCATACTATGTAAGACTAGGGAAGTGGTGGGACCATAGGGTCTAGTTTGTATTCACATATATAACATTAACTCCCAAATGAACCTGAAGCTATATGGTCCCTAGTAGCGGGCCCAGTGGTGCTTGTCCAGGATCACAATAAACCTCATGGGATGCTTCCTTATGTTGAAGTAGTTTGTCCTGGCATTGGGGGGTGTAGATCAAAATGTAAGCTCTACACCAGCTCAGAATCTACATGAATGACTTTGCTGGAATTTTGAATAGTGCACTAATAGTGGTTAATAATCAGAGATAGCACAAGGGCTGAGTTTTTCTGGTGGCTAGCCCCACTGATATAGTAAATGTTTATTAACATTGTATGAATTACATATATAATCTCACTTAATCCCATGAAAATCTGGTAGAGCACTGTTAGGTTCATTTTACAGGTGAAGGAAGACAGTGTTTTTTGTTTTTGTTTTTGTTTTTTTGAGACGGAGTCTCGCTCTGCCGCCCAGGCTGGAGTGCAGTGGCGCGATCTCGGCTCACTGCAAGCTCCGCCTCCCGGGTTCACGCCATTCTCCTGCCTCAGCCTCCCAAGTAG